AAACCAGTGCCACGTGGATGATGCCAAGGTCTGCTGCCCGCTGGAGCAGTAGCCAAGCTTTCCCCTCTCTTGGCCATAGGGGTCGAGTGCCTGGATCGCTGGGTACTCTGAATCCAATTCTGAGCAGCAAATTCTCTATGCAGCCGCCATTCTGGAACATGGTGCTCTGCTGCTTTCTTCTCGAAGCAAGATCTTTCACCTTTGCAGTTTTGAGGCTGCAAAGGGTAGAGACTTGCTGCTTCTTGTGATGCCCTCAGGCCATCTTTTGCATTCTCTTGTTTCTTAGCAATGGAGATCGCCTCAGCTCTATCTTTGCAGTCCACAACTTCACTGGAGCTTCCTTTCAGGCCAAACTCACATTTTAAATCATCCTTTGGGCTCTTTGCTCTTGATTCTCAACATAAATCTGGCTAAAAGCCCCCAATAATAGCCATGCCACTGCCCCAACATTCAACTGCCTTGAAATTTCTTTTGCCAGATTAATCAGTCCATCGCCCTTAATTTCAGTTTTAGGCAAAGTCTCTGGACAGGAGCAAAATGCAGACAAACTTCCTGCCAAGCCATAGCACACATCATCTGGAGTTCAGCAACCAATGCAGTCCATCTTCCAATAGAAACCTCCCAAACCTGGTCTTTACCAGCTGGGTTTCTATCAACCTTCTGGTCTTCTTAGCTTTGACCAGAATCTCCCATACAGAATAGCTGCAGGTGTTCCAGCTCCAGTCTTTCAGGCAACATCTCGAAACCTTTCCAAACACTTCCCATAAGCCATTTCCAAAGGCTCTTGAACCACATAGTCAGGTATAGTCACAACAACGACCCCACTTCTCTGGTACCAAATTCTGTCTTGGTTACTTTTCATTGCTGAGACAAAATACCTGATGTCCAAAATTAAGGAAGGAAAGGTTTATTTAGCTTACAGTTTGTGGAGGTTTCAGTCCGTACTCGGCTGGCTCCAAAGCAGAGTAGCACATGGGAGAGGGCAACTGCTCATGGCAGTGGAAAAGAGCAAAAGCAACAAGAGCAAAAGGGAGGAATGGTGGCAAGCAGCCTTTCTCTCCCTCACATATGCAAACTGTCTGCCCCAGGGCGGGTGTAGCACTCACATCCATGAATCAATCCTAAACTCTAAAAGTCTGCCCCATGACTGCATGAGGTTTTGGGGAGACACGCAGACACACACCATAACAGGTGTAAATTTAAACTATGTGCAGGATTTATGTGTTAAATATTGTACAAGAAATTAAAATCAAAATAAATACAGAGACACATAGTGTGATCAAAATATATGGTGAGTATTTAGATGATTTTTTTCCCTCTTAATTTATTACAGTAAAGATATATTGCCATTAACCCCCCTCAAAATACTCTCCTTGCTTAGAATACAGCTCATTATTCTTGCCACTTTCTACAGCAGTTCTGAAAGTTTTGTTTTATGAGTGTCTTTGCGAGGTTTTTTTTTTAAAAAAATCCAGTGACTGCTGCTGCTGAGGGCTGTCTAACAGAAAGGCAATTATAAAAACATTGCACTGTGTCGTAATCCACCTTATTCACCGGATCTGGCACCCTGTGGCTTCTGACTCTTCTCCAGAGCCAAAATGACCATGAAAGGTCAATATTTTGAATCAGTTCAGGACATGAAGGCAGCCACAACAGTGCCACTAAAGACACTCATGAAAGAGGACTTCCAGAACTACTTCAGAAAGCAGTGTGAACAATGGGATAAGTGTGTTCAAAGCAGGAGGGTTCTTGGGGGAGGATTAGTGGCAATATGTCTTTTAGTACAATTTTTAAAAAAAAATTAAACATTCACCCTATTTTTTAATCACACCTAGCAATACTCACTGTTAATGGGCTAGAAGACTCCTCATATTAAGGTGTTAGTTTTCCCCAGATGGATCTATAGATTAAACATGATCTCAGAAGATCATGAATCCCATGAAATCCCAATGAATTTTTTTATACATAGTAACACGCTAACTCTAAAAGGTATATGCTAAGACAAGGGAACTTAGTCACAAAGATTTTGAACAAGAACAAAGCTGAAGGACTTACATTACTGGATTTTAAGATTTACTATAAAGCCACACGTGATTTTATCAAGACAATGTGGTGTAGATAAAAATACAGGCACATCTGTCAATAGAGTTCAGAAACAAGGTCTACGTTTATACGGTTAATTGTTGAGTTTTTGTTTTTATTTTGTTTACAAAAAGGCATGAAGGCAATTCAACAGAGGAAGGATAGTCCCTTTTCAACCGGTATAGAAACAGTTGGACATTCTTACGAAAACCAAACAAATCTTGACCAATACCTCACATATTATGTGAAAATGAACTCAAAATGGATCCTAGACATAAATGTAAATCCTACATCTGTAAAACTTCTAGTAGAAACCACAGGAGAAAAGCTCTGTGACCTTGGGCTAGGCACTTCTCTTATTAGATAAACACCGCAAGTGCAAGCCATGGAAGAAAAAGATAAATTGGGCTTTTCATCTGAAAGCCACTTGTATTATTAGCCAATTAAATGTGAGCAGAAGTGCCATATGTCATTTTTACGCAAAAGCTTTAAAAGCCAGTCTGGTCTCCAGCCTTCTGCATCCTGTTGACATCAGGCTTGGTCATGTTTTTTTTTTTTTGGCCAGTGAAATCTGCCTATCACTTATAGCAGAAGCTATAAAAGCCAATTTGTGCTTTGCCATTCTCTTTTCTCTCTGCCTTGCTGAAACTTAGACCCAGACAGAGGCTGCCCCCTGGCCTTGGTTAATTAGCAAAGACGACATGTAATAGGACACAACCTTCTGGCCCTGGTTATGTAGTATGAGTGAGAAATTATCTACATTGCGACCCTGTGATTTCAAGGTTGGTTATTTGCAGCATAATCTAGACTCTCTCCTTGGTGAAATTTCATTCAGTGTGGTTTTTAGTCGGTAATATCTAAGAATGAAACATTTCAATGTGACCAGTAACATATCTCCAAATCTCAGGGAGGGAGGGTTTATTTAGTTGACAATTTCATATGTAAATCTAGTTATGACCACAGTATATGGATTTTTTTAAATTCTGAGAATTTTTTCCTGTCTTCTTTGGGCAAAATCATTCTTGTGCATTCATTTTCCAAGTATTGAGAGCCTGAGGGCTGGGGAGAGCAACAAATGAGGCAAACATAGTCTGTCTTAGTAGAGGTTTTATTCTAGTGGAAAAGCCAGTCAAGAAACAAGTAATTACACAAAGATGTAAAACCAGTTGTGATAAGAGCTACAGTGATGACATCAGGATACTGGTGGGCCTGGCCAGGTCCAGGTTTTTTCTGTGCCATGAAAGATAAGTGACCTAATATACTGAAAGGAAGAAAGGGGGAACCAGAACCCTGACTTCCTACATAGGTGTTCTGTGATATTTGGACCAAACCTTGGAATTTGTCTATATTTGGGACAGTAGCCTATTTATGCTAAAAGGAGGAGCCAGCTGGAATATGGATGAATCGACCTGCACCCCTCACGGGTACGTCAGGTCAGTAGAACCGTCTCTGTTCACGAAGGTTGATGCCAAATTCTTCATTTTTACAAAAGCACAGTAAAGTTAAAACACTCAACACACCCAGGCTGGGTAACAACATAGCATCCAGCAACAACCACCACGCTGCCAGCTATTGATTTCCTATTTGGGCTGAAACATGCTATTGGAAAGTGATCACCTCCAATCCTGCAATTTCACCCAATTCTTTTATTTTTCCATAACCCAGGAATTATTCCAGTTTGACATTACTCAATTCAAATAAGTTTCCTAAGCACCTACTGTGTGCCAAACTCTAAAAATCTGAGTCTCTGCTCTCAAGGACTGCACAACCTAGCAGCAAAATCATTAATAAACTGTCTTAACCAGTGCTTTGATGATTGACTAGTTGTATTTCTTCCTAAAACACAAAGATTTCCCAGCACATGGACAGGGTGAGGGGCGGGAGCACTATTCAGTGAAGTCGTGCTGGATTTTATTGACTTCCATTTCTTGGTGTTCTTCTTGCTTCATGATAACTTTAAAACAGGTGTAAGACTGGAAGCGTGATTCTCCATTAAATCCAACTCCTTTGCACCACAGGGCTTGGAGAATATTAAATAGAAGCCTAATCCAAACACAGACAGCCCAACTTGGACCTGGTCACTAACAAGATGTACGTCGAAGCCACTAAGCCTTGCTAATTTGGGGGTGGGGGTTGTTTACTCCTTTATAAGATGGTGCTCCCCAGAGGCTCAAACATTTTTCAGTACTAAGATTCTTTCCTTGCTTTGGAAAATCTGTACCTTGTCACTACCACTAAAAATGTTTAAAATTTCTAAGTATTCCAGGAGCTCTCTTGCAGTAGGCTTTGGACTCAGGGTGGCACCGAAGCAATGACGGTCCTGTGGTATCCTCCCCTCCCCGCATTCTGAAAGAATGTGTAATCGGACACGAAGACGTGCGATGTCACCAAGCAACTCAGGCAGAAGTGGTGTTGCCCGTTCTCTTGCAAACATTACCTGGCCTAGGGCCGGGGATTCCCTGCACTAACATCCTTTGGCGATGCTCCTGGCCCTCCACGTCGCAATCTGGTCCTCACGGTGCCACTGCAAGGCGCTTCGTCCCAATATTCTAGCCCAGTGGTCATCCCAGGGCGGGACTGTCAAGAGTCAGAAAACCCTGACAGCTGGGGCGGGGGGTGCTGTCCTAGAAAAGTCACGTCTCCCCATTTAAGTTCCAAACTCAGACAGTCGGGCACCGTCGGCCACATCGAGTCTCAAGCGCTAGTCAAGACATCAGGACCGACCTGTACCAATGCCCTTCTGCCTAACTTGGGTTGTGATTCTCAACGCCGAAAGTGCCCAGGGCCCTGGATCCGCCCCTCGCGCTGCAGCCCCGCCCCTATTTCCGGTTGGACCAAAGTCCCCGGCCCCGACCCCGCCCCGCCCCGCGGACGCGGCTCTCCTCGAGCGAGCGTCCCAGCGTCCCTTCCGCCGGAAGTGGGGAGACTTTCCCTTTCCGGCTACGGGTCCCCAAGCGGGGTGGGAGGCCGGACCCGGGAGCCGAGCGGCGGCGGCGGCGGCGGCGGTGGTGGTAATGGCGGAGCTGGTACAGGGGCAGAGCGCTCCGGTGGGCATGAAAGCCGAAGGTTTTGTGGACGCTCTGCACCGGGTCCGGCAGGTACGGCTGCAGCCGGCTGGCGGGAGCGCGAAGGCCGAGGCGGGGCCGGGCCCTGAGGAGGGGGTCGGGCCTGGGGGCGGGAGGCAGGCAGAGCCGACGCCTGAGCTAGCCCGGGTGTCTGCGGGGCTGCTGCGGCCGGGATGCAGCTCCGCCGCGAGGCCCAGGCCCAGGCCCAGGCCCAGCCGGTCGGGCGGGTCTCCCCAGGTGCCTGAAGCCGCCAGGATAGAGTTTGCCCACTGCGCTTGCCCCAGGGCGTCCCCGTGCCCAGGCTGGACTGAGACACAGGGTCGCCAGCGCGGATTTCGGGGGTTCGCGAGGGCGTTGTGGAGCTCGTGGTGAGCAACCGGGTGTAGACGAAAGGCAGCTGTCTCACGCCCAGTGAGCAGCTTGTTAAACCTTAGAAAACACCCGTCTTTGGACTTTCTGTGTTTCGAGAGTGGAGTGGAAAAAACCCTGGGATATTTTATTTTTAGGGTATTCTTTAGAGGGTGGTGCTTAACCTCTTAAAGAACCTCTTAAAGGATGGTCCTTAAGAAGTAGAACTCGTTCATGGCAGTAATTTTCCTCTACTAGAGAGGTTGTGATGTGGACTTGGGCAGACAGCGAAATTTTACCGTCTGACAATGTCGTGCACTTTTGTCAGATGTCAGCTGGTTCTTAAGAGGTTACAAGCTTCCCTGGAGAATGAATGTAGGGCCCGCCCAAAATACACGCTGGTTTCTGGCATGATGCTTAGAACAGATCAGTATTGTGTCTAAAACTTACAGGTTGGCCCTAAAACTTAAACTGCTTCGTTTGCTTGTCTTCATCTGCTCCTGTAAGCACTGATGCTTAAAAAAATTGGGCTGTAACTAATGACTGCTTGATTCCTAACAGAAAGCCGCAGGACTCATTGTGTTAGAAGAAGGTCTCCACTTGGGCGCTTGAAGATGTGGTTTTTCCATCTCTTTCAATATGCCAAGGGAGGGAATTCCATCTCTCTCCTAGACGTTGACTTTTCATGTTAACACTGATGCTCCTGTAGACATTACATTGGATCCCAGAACTTTGCAAACCTGTTTCCACCTAAAATTTTCTGATGAATCTTTACTTGTTGCTTAGTTGTCAACCAGTACAGTAGTGAGTGTCCATCTTATTTAGACTTCAGAGCAACCAGCTGCCTGTAATGGATGAACGTGCCATCCAGCTCCTTTTCCATCGTTCTTGCTGGGACATTGCTATGCTGTCCTCCACAGTACAGGATCCTGAACCTTGTTTCTCACTGGTTACTAATAATGTAATGGCTTTCACTCTGTGCAGTGTGTGACAGTCACCTTGTTGGTCTTCTGTGTCCAGGAAGATTTATAGTCACTATCCTAAAAGAACCCAGACCCTCAGTTTAGAGGAGGCCTGTAGTTGAACATTAAATGAATTTTGAACTATTGCGAAGACTGTGCTTTTCTTGAGCCAGTGGTTGAACTCGTATTTTTGGACAGCCTGCTCAAGAGGGAGACCCTCTGTTAAATGCTGACCTGATGTGGATTATTGAAGCAATGGTGTTTACTCCTAGCAGTGAAAACTTCATGGGATTTGTCCTCAGCTGTGAGGTGCACCATTGACTGGAGCAGTCATGAGCCCGCCGGAGCCAGGGCTGTAACTGTGTTCCGTCTGAATTTAACAGCTGAAGGTCCTTACTGTGTCCAAGGATTTGATGGCATTTAAAAACTAAAGAAGAATCAGGTTTGTGAGTAATATTAGGTTTACTTTATAGATTTGTATTGGGCAAGGATTGCATGTTAGAAATCTGTAATATTGTGTGCTTGTAGTAAGGCTTACCTCAAAGGCGCTCAGATTATTTAGACCCCTGGATGGGCATGGTTGTCCTTCACATTGAATACACAGCATGTTGTAGAGTTGTGGGGTTTTTTTTTCCTCCTATTAAATGAAAAGACAGTCTATGTTCTTATTTAAATGGCTGCAGAACGTCCCTCCTCCCATTTATCTGTACTCATAAATATCAGTGAAAGTCTGTAAAGAGCCTTCTGGGAAGCTTGTAGGACATTTGTTTGTAACCTGTCTTACAGTCAGTTTTTCCAGGAAATCGTACTAGGGTCCTACTGGACTTCGAATCTGTAGTCTGTTAAGTCTGGTATGGAGAATCCAGCACCTAATCCGCTGAGGTTCCTTTCCGGCATCTTGAAGCCTCGAGACTTATGTATCTCTTGGACTCTTCCTAACATGAATCGTAGATTGCTGTTAGTTTATTTGGGCATTGTATTCTTAGATCAAAAGAGAGTCTTTGAGGATGTCATATGAAATTGAAATATTTTTTCCAGTAGGTCCTGGGAGGTCCTGTGAATTAATAGTGTTTGACACAAATGGGTAATTTACGTGCATTCTTAGGAAACGTGATCTGATTTAGTCCTGTTGATGAAGATCTAAAACTGCGTATTTAGAAACATCATGACTGTCTCTTCCAAGTCATTGGTTAGCATACATGAAATGTCTCTTCAACTGGTTTAGAGAAGGCGGGATCATAATAAAGGTGGGATGTGGGCTCAAAGCTAAGGTACGCATCATCCTGTTCCATGGCCATACTGTGTACCTGTGTCCTATAGTCTTAAATTACAAGGGACATCACTGAGATTATGGGCCAGCAGATACAAGGCTGTTTTATTTTCTTGCAGTTTCCCCAGGAAGTCTACCAGTAGTTAGTAGCACCTGTCAGTGAGTCCAGCCAATCAGATGTTAATGGAGTAGTGTGCTACTACCAGTTACAGATTCCCAAGAGCCTTCTGTGGGCTGGGCCAGTTGTCTTTCAGGCCTCATCAAAAGATAAGAGATTCTCTTGCCAGATTGCTAGTACTGTTTTGTGTGTGTGCGTTATTGGGATTGAACCCAGAGCCTTCACACTAAACCACATTCCCTACCCATTTATTTGCTTATTTATTTATTTATTTATTTTCCGGTGCCAGGAATCCAGGAATCGAACTCACGACCTCGTGCTTGCCAGGCAGCCGCTGAGCCGCTGAGCTAAATCCCCAGCCCCCTTGCTTTTTTATTTTTGAGACAAGGTCTTGCTAAGTAACTAAGTTGCCCAGACTGGGCTTGAACTGACAATCCTCCTGCCTTGATCTGCCAGGTCTGTGCCTGGCTCTGCTATTGCTCTTTAAGGACTTTAAGCTCCTGTTTTGGTTGAGACCCAGGCAGTGCCCTTCCACACTGCACAACTGGCATATTCTGTTGTATAGAGTGCAGTATCATGGTGGCCCTGCACCCAGATGACTGTCACCAAGCCACTGTAAAACCAATAGAAGGAATGTTTTGTTGACTTTTCAGGCTTAGAACTTAGTCTTTACTCATACCTTTCGTGTGTTGCCTCAGAAATTCGCAGTCCTCTGAAAGTGCTTTCCCATGCTGCCGTTTCCCACGTTGTGCCTGAGCGGTGGATAATTGGAATGTGTCCTTATACCTTGGGCTAATTAGTTAGTGCTTTAAGATGCTGATTCTTCTACCAGCGTTGAATCTCCTTTGAGAGAACAGTGTGCAGAGAACAAGCTCCATTCATTGGCTGTTGGCTACACCTTGAGAGATTCTGCCTTTGCCCATTCAATATACACGTGATTTTGACTCATGGTACAACTCAGTGTGCTGGACGCTCAAGAGATTTCAGTTGTATGCTGTTGAGACTGTCTTGTGGACAGTCCACTGGTTGAGTCACTCAAGTAGGCATTTTACAGGGTACTTAACTCCTGCCTGGGCCCTCAGTAGCTTTCTCAGGAAACCAGTGTCTGTGTGCAATCTACGGACCGCTCCTGTATCTCTGCTTTGATGGGATCCAGTAAAGTATCCTGCAAAGAGCGAGTCCTCCTTAAAGAGGGGGGCAGTGATGTCGTGGAGCCTGTCCCTGTGCGTTAATGGGAGTGCTGAACTTTTTACTGGTATTGAGAAATAGATGGTAAATGAACTCCATTTACCAACTGCTTCTGAGATGTGTCGTTTTCAGCTGAGACTTCACTCAATCTGATATTCCAGGTGTACTGTCAAACTCTGCTTTCTTCTGAAGCTTCAGTTATCTTTTCTTTCTTTTTTTTTTTTTTTTTTTTTGGTACTAGGTATCAAACTTATGACCTCAGGCTTGCCAGGCAAGTGCTTATGCCACTGAGCTATATCCCCAGCCCGCTTCAGTGATCTTGTAGATATCTAGATCACAGTTCTCTGACTAGTGGCCCATGGGCTAGAGAAGATTTACATTGGAGGCTTGCTCTGTTTGACCCACACAATACTAGTACTTATAAATGAGAGTGATTTTGCATAAAAATTGAGATTTTAGCTTCTTTAGCAAAGCTCTGACCATTTTACTCTCACATTCTGCATGGCAGTCACCGGCAGGAGCCGGACAGCTGCCTCTTCTTCCCATGGGCTTCAGCTGAGTTGCTTTTACTCCCAGGCTTTGGTATTCTTTCATACCTATTGAGATTCCTGATGGACTGCTGATCACTTTCCAGATTGCGAGCCCACCATCTCGCCTTTTTCCTTGAAATTTCTGATGGAAAGAACTCTGGATGGTTGCTTAGGGGGGTCTGAGTCCTGCAAGTAGTTGCAGGACCTTGAGCTAGGTTGCCTATAAAGGGTTTGAGTATAGGCTTTTAATTACCAGATTATCCATGGAAGAGTTAGGGGGCAAATAAGTTTGGGATATACCTGGGTAAAGTTGAATTGGCTTCTATACTGCAGCGCCTCTGGGCATGTTTAGTAGGTTATATGCATTAACTCCTGCATGGCTGGAAGGTGTGCACTGTAAGTGTGCTGCAGTTACATGGTGCTGTGCCCTCCTTTCATGGGACCAGGTCATACTCTGTGACTCAGACTTCACAGTGCGTAGCCTGTGGATATAGCGAGGTGGTACGGTACTTCCTAGCATATACATAAGCCCTGGGCCCAGTTGTAGTAACACACACCCAGAGGCAGCACTTTAGGGGATGTGTTAGATGCTGTCAGCTGTCCCAGATCCATGAGCG